AAAAAATTTATATCTTTATGTTTGAAGCCTGAAATGTGGCAAAAGGTTGAAAAGTTCAAGGGGGCCGAATACTTTCGCAAGGCACTGTATATGGAAGCTCATTTCCGCCAGTGAGTAAGCCAGGGTTGGAGCCAATGCAGTGAGTCACGAACTAGGGTAGGAGCGGCGAGGAACTAGGGTAGGAGCGGCGAGGGCACAAGCCCTAGAACCCGAATCCGTTACAATAACAAAAGGAGAGACCATGAAATGTGGGCTATTTCGAAGTCGCAAATGTGAGATATACAGTCGCAATTCTGAGTTACTAAGTCGCAATTCTGAGTTACTAAGTCACAATTCTGAGTTACTAAGTCGCAATTCTGAGATACTAAGTCGGAATTCTGAGTTGCTAAGTCGGAATTCTGACTTACTAAGTCGGAATTCTGAGTTACTAAGTCGCAATTCTGAGATACTGTCAGAATTCTAAGATACTAAGTCGGAATTCTGAGTTAGTAAGTCAGAATTCAGAGATACCATCGAGCATTTTTTTTTTACTCCCTGGCGGAAACGGGCTTCCATACTACTAGGATTATGGTTTAAATTCCTGAAAAAGCCTAATACAGTCACAAATTTATTGCTGTTTCTGGTGAAGGCACTGCCAAATTAAAAGTTTAATTTTTTGTGCAATTGACTGAAGTGGGCCACAACATCGGTCACATTAAGAACCTAGGTTATCTCATGTGTTATATACTTTATGAATTTAATATTATACCTCTGGTTATGGTTACACTTCTGTGCTGAGAAACAGGCACACTTTCACTGCTATATCACCTGCTCCCTCCTGACTCCCATGTTGAGTCTCTTCTCTAACCTTAGTGTGGCCTTCAGCAGCCCTGCTGTTGTGTTCAGGGTGAGTTATGTCAATAAGAAGATAATTGTACCAAGTGCACTTTCTACTGGGGCAGGCCCAGCTCCTCTTCTACAAGAGCAGGATAAACACAGTCTCAGGCAGAGGGTCTGTAGAGGAGAAGAGTGTTTGAGGGGTTGGTGAAGAGCAGGATCTCTCTTGAATTCCTCTAGTAAAACCGTAGAGATTCTTGTTTGAAGGTTTCGGTGTGTTTTGACTATGTTACATGTGAGAGTCTGTGTAGGAGTCTTTCATGTGTAAAAAATATGCCTTGTTGTATATTTGTGGGAGGGGTGGGGTTTGTTTAGTTTCATGATCATTTTCTATTTCTTTT